ATGTGAAATAACTGAGCGCCACAGACCAGAAAAACCACCGTTCACAAATACCAAATAAAAGAAAAATTCAAAGTGCACCACAGCTCTTAGACCTGGAGCTGGTGTTCAGGTGTGAAGGTCCATTCAACACCGGATGGAAAAAAAATAAAACTGTTTCTGTAGAACAACAGGACGAGGATGGAGAAACAGCGTTGGTTAAATGCTAATTCTGTTTTTAACGCTCTTCTCTCTCGTTTCTTTTTCTTGTTAAAATCGGTTCTAAAACTCCCATTTGCTCCGTTCATGCAGGGCAGGGGGGAACGAGAGACAGAAGACGGATCGTGTTTAGCGAGGGATAACACAAATCCTCCCCCACTTACACGGCGGTAATCACATTTTTATAATTGACATATTTGCAGATAGCCAAGCGCTCCCAGATGCCTGGTAATAGCAGCTTCAATCAGCAGACTGTGGGCTTCCACGTTCTTTAACGCACACGGCTAATCACGGCACTGAAGTAACATCCGCCGGCTGAATCCCAAATTCCGCCCTCGGTGTGTGTGTGTGTGTGGAGTAGGCAGATGTGTCGTTGTCATCGTGCTGACTGCATATAATTGTAGACACTGGAGCTCAGTTGGCAGGGGCGGCAGAAAAATAGTTGATTTTTGTGATGATGAAGTGTGAATCTGTAGATCAGAGGCGGCCATTTTTTTTATTTTTTGGCTCAAAATGAGGTTCAACATTTAAATTGGTTAAAAGTGAAATGATTTAAATAAATTGTACAAGGATACGCCTGAACTTTCACAGATAATTTAGCACCTTTGACCTCTGCTGCCATTTAGTGGCATCAAGGGGAAATTACAGTCTATTCGTCGTAATACATGAAACAGAAGGATTGACATTAGTTTTTGTCATACCTTGCGCCAGTGTTTGGCCGGCCGTGTTAGAGATGCCCACTGGGCCGTATCTGGCCCGCGGGCCATAGTTTGACCTGATCTGCTGTAGATTGTTAAAATAAACAGGTTTGTTTGGAGACTTCAGACTTCAGCCTCTGATCTGAGCTGACCTGTAGCATCAGCTTGGACGTATGATACGAAGGGAAGGCCGACGCTCCACACAGAGAGGTGGCTCAACAGGTGGGTTAGTGCTCCCCCTGGGGGATAAACCTACACAGTACTTATGGTGTCTGGGAAAAGAAAAGGATCAGAGAAAAAAACTAATGAAAACAGCAGTTGTTTGGCTCCACAACGAAGGTCACGGGGTCACCGACCACCACAGGCTTTACGTGAAGGGACCGCAGCGGAACCAGCCCATTATTTTGGCCCAATTTGTAGACAACACACAGAAACACACGGCGAACAGAATCACAAAGAAAGAGAAAATGATTTCATATTTTCTTAAGGTACTTTTTATATCTAGTATTAAATACAAATAAAGTCATAGTCAAAAATAGTCAGCCAAGTATTTTAACAATGTCAGCTTGGAGTTTAGCATAACTTAGCAGTGAATATGCTAATGTCTTAGCGCTGTATGTGCTAACGTCGCTTCTCGCTTTAATGTCAAAAAACGTATCCACAGAGAAAGTCTGTTTGATTTAACAAAAATTTAAGTCTTTCTTAACTTCACTTTATGCTTCATATCATGTGCAGTGAACTGAGAGTCTTTTTTATATTTTTTTTAGTTAATCAGTTTCCCCGACGGGAGCTAACGCGGCCGACTCAAACTGAGCAACAAAGAGGAGAAAATTAAAATAAAACTTGGGAAAAGGGAAAAATTAGCAGATAATTTTTCCAGGATGTGAAGTTGTGGAAGGACGAAGGAGAAAAGTTCAGATGAGTGATGTGCATGATCTGCTCCTCGAGGCTAGTACGATCCCCAGCAGGGTGGATGGAAGGTCGTTGTCCGACCAATCAGCTGTGGTCTAATCCCACTAACTGCTCCGTACAGGAAGTGCGTCCTGTTCCTACGAGCTGAGCTGCTGTTTCCTCTCCGCTCTCAGACCCGTCTGAGCATGTGCAGGAATATATTTGTGAAAAGGTCAGTTTCTCCTCACAGGCAGGTTTCACTCCGTCTCCCCTGCAGGTGCACCGTGTCACTGCAAACCCAGGGGTCACCACCGCGCACTCGGTCCGAGAACAAACAGTCGTGGGTGACATTTTCCGAGCACACATCGCCACTGGCACACAAACTCCATCACCGTGTGTGTGTGTGTGTGTGTGTTTTAAAGTCGACTCTACTCTGACTGTTGTGTTTCTCACTAATGAAGGTGCATTGACTTTTTCTGGTGGTTAATTGTCCGTAAAGATTCCCAGTGATCCGGGTCATTTGATCCACAGAGCTGAAGAGAAAAGCCGGTGGATTTGATTCAGTTTTTCTTTCATCTTGGATCTTTCTTCAGTCCAGACTCCGAAAAAGACGTTTGTTTTTTTTCTGCGTATTTAAAAAGCAGGCTGGCCCAACGCCAAGTTGTTGCTTTCAATTAAAGTCAACGAAGTCGATGATTGCAACCCAATTCCGGACTCTTTAGTCTTGAGTTTTCATTAAAATAAGCAAAAACAGTTTTGATAATTTAACTTTTTAACATGAAATTCTTTGTCTTATCTTATCTGACATCTACTCCTCATTGGGGTTTTTTTTTTTGAGAACCTTTTCTCAAAGTCAACACAGAAGAACAACTAATTCCCGTCATCTTCCCTGGGTCTCCCCTCCCGCCTCCTGCCCTGTGCCTCCCTCTCCCCCATCCTCCCCCTCCCTGATGAATCCATCGTCACCTCAGTGAGAACATCTACTCCTCATTGGGTTTTTTTGAGAACCTTTTCTTCATCTGTTCCACCTCAGCTGTCCAGATCTAATCTATTCCTCATCTCAGCGTCTTCACCTCTGTAACCTGGGGTCCAGTCCTGTCTGTCACTCACTGCCAGTGTGTGTGTCCATCTAACACATCCAGGATCAACAGCCAATAGGAAGACTTCCTTTTTCTTTTTTAGAGCGATCCAACAAAGTCCCCGAAGGATTCGTAAATGTAAGAGAGCCTGGGAGAGCAGCAGAAACCTTGGCTTCTGTCTGGTATCGTATTCAACATTCTGCCCAGGCATATTGGGAAATTATTTTTAAATGCCACCAGTACAGTCTCCAGTTTCCTTGTTAGGAGTTCCAACGGGGAAGGTTGAATTTGCTCGGGCTGCCTCTTTAATAGATTGTCGCTCAATATGTTCATGGAAAATCCACGGAGCGTCCAAGAGCCGACGGCGCCAAAGCTACCATCTGTTGCAATAACAGTTTCCAATCATAACAACGGTGTCGCTGAATGAACACATCTGCAACGGAGAGTGTACAGAGGTCACCTGAGGTCAGGATCCTTTCACCCCCCCCCCCTCCCTGTGATCAATATCACAGGTTCAGTTTCTGTGAAGACCAGAGAAGAAGCTGTGGTTCCACTTGGTTATTTATGAAAATAATCCAGTTGTCAGTGGAAACAGACAGAGAGTTTCCACAACATCTAGAGGTTTCTAGTTTACCTTGATGTTTACATTTTCACTCCGTGGTTACATTTACCTCAGTAATAACATTTCATTTCGATGATGTGTTACTCACTTTGACAAAAAAAAAGTCGTTCCATTTCTGCCGTTAGTTCTACGTAATCGGTGTCATTTTGCTGTTATTCATTATTTTCTCTTCTTGGTGATCAATCATCACGAACCACGGTCCACCGTCGTCCGACTCCCGGTGATCGTGAGGTCGAACGTACTTGGATACTGAACTCCTGCAGCTTCAATCTTCTCTGATGTTTTACCCTTCTCCCCCTCCTCCTCCCTCCCCATCCCCCTCCTCCTTCCATCCTCTCCCGTCTGCACTCGCTCCGTATTGTTGCACTTCACCGCTGTTTGTCCCTCCGTCCTCTGAAGGACGCCGCTTCATTTAATTCAATAAGAGCAACTCCATGACATTTTACTTTGATATGATCCTCAGAGAGTGTGTGCCCGACAAATATGGCACGTTTGTGTAAAGGAGTGTGTATTTACGTGTGTGTGTGTGTGTGTTTGTGCTCATTTGCATCAAATAAGTCTTTGCAGACTCCCTGTGTTACAGCCTGCCTGCGGTGATAAGCACATGATGTGTGTGTGTGTGTGTGTGTGTGTGTGTGTGTGTGTGTTACCTGGGCCTGCTGCGTGTTGTTGGCTGAGGGGAGAGGGTTGGAGACCATTGGTCCAAAAATGTCCAGCTCGTTGCTGATTGGTCCAGCTGCTCCTGTGTTTTTCCCTCCGGCCTCTGGAGCATCTGTTATAAAAACGTATTTACATCAAATCACAGTCGTGTTGAAATGAAACAGAAAAAGAGGGAGAGGAGGGGGGAGCCGGGGGGGGGGCTGAATCTGTGTGTCAATCTCCACATATTCATAAAAATAACTCGGTGACATTGCAGTCATAAAAATTACTCATTCCACTCATGACCAACCTTGTCTCCTATAAACGACTCTCCTCCACAGTTTGAACCACGTCTTTAATCATCGTTTTTTTACACGTCTGCAGGTGTGAAACCGTCTGACCGTCTTTTAAAAGACGATAATAACATTTTCTAAAACTGACATTTAATCAGCGTCACCGTGAGGAAGAGCAGCTAATGAAGTCTGGACGGGGTCGAATAACAAAACCTCTGGAAATATTTGGTTTGTAAAACTAACATCAAACGTGGTGTGAAGCTGAAAAAAAATGTCATCGTGATGTTTGAAAAGAGAATTCCGAGAATTTAATCAGACATTCATATTAAATGACCCTTTTTTTTTTATTAATTAATATTTTTTGCAAAACATTGATTTGAAAAATTAAAACGTTGTGCAATCATAATGTAACTGGAACAGTGGGCAACACTGCCCCTCCTGGCCAGAGGGAGAGTCCACGTCCTCGGCCAAGATTAGAACCAGAAACCACTGAATAACCGACCCATTCCTTTCACCTCTGGCCCGGAACAAAAGTTAGGAATAAAAACACAATTTTTTAAATTATTTCTGCCTCATTTACCTTTTTTTCTGTTCTTATATCCATTTCCTTTATTGTTTTTATGGTTCATATTCATTGTACGACTGGGTGATATTCAAACAATTCCCTGGTGAACTTCATGAACTGCAGTAACAGTAATTATTCCATTCAGTTCTATTTTATCTGAAAGCTGCAATTTCCAGAACCTCTCTCTCTCTCTCTCTCTCTCTCTCTCTCTTTCAAATGTGGACACGTGAGTCTATTCATTAGAGGCTGCAGTGGTGGAGGGACCCCAGAACACTCTGTACCCTCGTCTGTGACATTGTGTCGGGGGGGGGGGGGTGAAAATGAAGGGTTAACGACCGTGAAATCGACCGCTGTGATAAAAACAGGTTTTTAAATAGTGTGAACAAGTCTGAGTTGTTCTCTGACACAGAATCAAAGCCACAGACGGCCGCTGTTAAAGAACTCTACTTTTTTTTTACCCTTTATTCGTCTTTCAGGCTGGGAGTGACGTAACGTGACACGTGAACATCACGTGACTGAACCAGAGCAGAGGAATCCACTCAGGGTCAGTTACATCGCCCCCTGCCACCACCGCTGCTCCACCATCAGTCACATCACAAACCAACAATGTGCCTGACATCTTGTACTATGGGATGGAGCCACTTCTTGGAAGCGCGCCTACCGTCACCATGGTAACGGACCGAGAGTTTAACCCAGGGGTGGGTTTTATAATCAGGCTAAGACGTCGCACACACTCTCACACTGGAAGCACTTCACTCAGACCTAACGCAGCCTCAGGCCTCTGTCCCTAACAACGACACATTTACACCTCGAAATAATCCTCAGCCCAACTGTAATCTGATGCTGATTCTAATCCAAACTCTAAACTGAATCTTTAAAAATACTCCCTCAGTCAGTGACCAACTGCAACAAACACACACATACATATATATATATATATTTTAGTCGGTTCCACAGAGGATCCTACCAATGATCTCCATGCTGTAAGGCTGGAGCACCAACCACTTCACCACCGTGTGGTCGCCCTGTGTTTTGATGTAATCTTTCATATAATCTGTCAACAAAGACGTTGAACTGAACCTAAAAGAGTGTTTTCACCAGCATCAAGACGAGGTTTAGTTTAGAGCAGTGGTCTCCAATCACCGGTCCGGGGACCGCTGGTGGTCCGTAGGTCATCTGGTACCGGGCCACAGTGTGAAAAAAAGTTTTAATAATTTACTTAAAATCAAGAAGAACCCAGTCATATCCCTTTACTTTTACTAATTTACTTAAAACAACCTGTTGTTTTAAAACAACACGTCATTCCGACTGATACGAAAAGAAGAAAGTTTAAATATTTAATGATCCTTTAACGATTAACGCGCGATTTAACAAAAGTTTGGAGTTCAGCCTGATTTCTTTGGTCTAAACCGCACAGAGAAGAACGTCACTGTGGTAAATGTGGTAAATAAAGAAGAGTCACGGGTGGAGTGATGTGCAGACTGGAGGCGAACACTGCCACCTATCTGACTTATTGATTATGTGTGAAATCTCATCCAGTCCACACGGCTGCAGGGCGTGTAGCGAGGGTTATTTATAGCAGGGCGTCCACTCTGGCTCCTCCCCTGCTGTGAGCAGGACTTTCAGATCAATGCTACATCCGCCCGCTCCTTTCTTCCCGTCAGTACAGCTCCACCACCACCTGTCAGGTGATACAACGCTGCCTCGTCTTTCGGAAACACCGGGAGACTGCAGCAAATTTATGGTGAACCCCCTCGGCTTTTCTCTGCCTGGGTTTTTTTTTTCTTTTTCCTAACGGTTTTTGGGATTAAGGTCAGCTAGCGTGTAGCAGAATGTCCTGGCGATTAGCCGGCAAAGACACACACCGTGTAGTGGAAATGTCACAGGTTTGAATCCAGCTTGTGCCCTTTGGTGAATGTCACATCTCCAGTGCCTTCAATTTAGCAGGTTCTTCTGCTGCTGTGGCCTTCGCTGAGGCTCATGTCAGACAGAGAGACGGGAAGCACCGGGTCTGCTGATTAACGTCATTAATTAGCTCCTTTTATTTGGCCAATTTGCTATTTCTGGGCTTTTCCTGAGTAGAACAAATAAATGTTTGTGTAACCGAGAGGTGAATGACTAAGAAAAACTCAACTCTGTTGACTAAGAATTGAACCTCAAGGAAATCTAGCCAAAAATGTCAACTTACAGACAAACAGACGGAGATTTCACCTGTTGATAAACAACAGCAACAAAATCACGTCCCATCACTGAAGACCAAGAAGATTCTAGGTACCAAAGGTGTGTGTGTGTGTGTGTGTGTGTGATTAGTGGCTAACAGTGGTCAGTCTTACCCAGGCCCAGCAGGTCGACGGTTGGTGCTGCACTTTTCTTGGGACTAGCTCTGGGTTCTGACATCTGCAAAGACACAAAGACAAAACAAAATTATACACACACATTTCATCACAGAACCTGAATCATACAGTCACACACACACACACAGGAGGAGGATTAACAGTCAAGCGTGTTGGTCCACTGGGAATCGAACCCAAAAGTCCCTGCTCCTAAAGGAGGTTTGCTAACCGGTAAAAAATAAAAAAATCTCTTGCGTCCCACCTCAGGGTCGCGACCCAGTCTTTGAGAAACAACGGTCTAACATACATGTTATAATGCGCTCCTGTCTGTGCCTACAGTTCCACAGCCTAACGACGTCAGACCTACAGTAACAGGAATCATTAACGTTACAACACAACGTGTCCGTTCTCATTCACTTCCTGTTAGTTTAATCAAAACAAATGGAAAAATCAGCCAGAAATATAAATCTAACCACTGAGTAAAAACAGAACTGTTCAGGGTTATTTTTCCTCTTTATTAGGCAATCAGGAAATATTTAACCATATTTACCTGAAGAAAAGCTGCACAGAGGAGAAGACGGGAGACAAAAGAGACAAAAGAGTGACAGAAGAAGAAGAGTCAGAGGTCAGAAGAACGTGGCAGGAGGACGAAGACGGGGCGGACAGGAAGAGATGAAAAAATGCGGTGAGGAGAGAACGAGTGTAAGAGGTTAGTGTGTGGGGCAGAGGGAGATCGACGACGACGGTAACAAACCCAATTTCCCCCAAACCAAAGATCGATGGAGGACATTAGATTCAGTGTCGTTTCAATCCACAGCAATGAAAACAATTACTGTGTCCACACTTAATCAGGAATGCATTGGCTGTGAGTGAAGGTGTGTGTGTGTGTGTGTGTGTGTGTGTGTGTGTGTGTGTGTGTGTGTGCCTTCAGCCATGTGGTGTGTGCTGAGCATTTAAAGTGAGTAACAGTGAAGTGCAGATGTTAAAGGGACTTTATTTTCTTCACTTTTCCATTTGATGTTGAAGCACAGGTCACTAATCAGCCAGAGTACAGAATGGGACTGGACCAGGACTGGAGCGGGTCTGGACCGGGACTGGACCCACACTCAGCTTCCATTTATGCGGTCTGGACCGGGTCTGGACCCACACTCAGCTTCCATTTATGATGCGAGCGTTAGCCGACTGGAACTAGCCAACAGTGCAAACAGTTGAGACTTCATAGGAATGTGCGATGTTCACTTTTTGCCGATGTCCGACATGCCGATATTGTCCAAACACTTAATTTCCGATTGCGATAGCCGTTTGGGTTAAAGGCAGAGGACACAACAACAATACAAATAACAGTTACTTTCACTTCAAAACTATTTTTTGGTCACATCGTCTGGGTGAAACATACATTACAAAACTATGATAATATCGGCCGATGTTATCGGACGTCTCTATTAATTCACCATTAGAGTCTGCTGCAAAACACAGACATGAGGGAGAGTCACATCTCTCCCAGTATTTGTTTTTTTTAAATCCTTGTGTACTGTAACTGATTTAAAATCCTGATGTATTTTGGCTCAACAGCCCACACTCTACTTTCAGACGAGGAATGGAGACATAAATGTCACGGTGCAGGAGGAGCTGAGGGAGGTGCTCAGGGATCTGGACTGACATGCCGGGAGAACGCATCTAAAAACAATGATGTACCAGAGGAGTTTTC